AAATGCAATATCTGATTAACACTATGAAATTATAACCGGAATAAATATGGAGCAAAGTGTTATTTTCTAATGCTGCGAAGTCAATTTCTTTAGTTTTAGATAAAAGAAGAAGTTATGCTCTATCTACTCGACAGGAAATGGGACCGAGTTTTAGTTATTTGGATCGACATTAATTGCAGCCTGTTCGACTGTATGGGTGAACGACATCCGAAAACCAAGAAGAACACAGAGTGTTTATTATGAAATCATGAGATGTAATTGACACGAACAAGGTCTTGACGTGAACACTTTGAAACTCGAAAGAGTTACACGTAACAAATTTACGAAGTGATTCGAGTCCTGAAGTGAATACAGAAGATGTTATAAGTATAGCAGAGGTAGTCATATATTCTATATCGGGCTATAAGTTTTGATTTGAACTTTTGCTCAATTTCGCAATAAAACAAATGTTTTTCTTTGTAGCTCTCACCATTGGTAACCTTTGAAGAAATATTTTACACTTTTTTTTTGAGGAAAGGAATGTAAACTGTTCTTCCAACGATGACTTTTGTCTCTGAACGAAAGACATTTGTGTTTTTTTTTTCATTTCTCAATATTTCAAAAAGACTGAAATTCAAGAAAAACTTGAAGCAAGTAAAAGATCATTGGTTCAATACATTATCTCAAATTGAATTTTAATATGCGACTGAAATTAATTAACTGAAATTAATTTACAAAACTTTCGAACTGGTAGGCAATCGAGAAATTTCATTGGTACTAAATATAGGAAATGGCGAGCAGTATCACAGTTACAGTTAGGTTAGATATTGCCATCAAAGAAGTTCGGATGAAATAAGCAAATATTACAATGGTTAATAAATTTAATCAACCGTTTGAATTTTCAGTTGTTTCATTAAAAACCTTAGATACACAGAAATTGAAATGGGCCTTCTAAGAAACTGTATGATAGGAATTTAATCAGTTTGCGAGCATTTATATCCTTGTCGTAATAGCGTTTTTGTGCTGAAACTTTTGCGCCAATAGATTAAAAATCTGGAAAGAATCCGATAAGTGATGCAGATTTAAGTATTCCATGTGAAAATACCGCAAACACGTACTTAATAGCAAGCATTTCATTTTTAGCAGCAATTATTGGCGGTTATCTTCGGAATTCCGATTGTCTTTCAGATTGTCTCCACAACATATATCAAATGATTGTCGTGATGGAATTAAATTCTAAAAAAGCAAAGTTTCCAAATTTGTTTCATTAAAACTATCTTCTGTCGTATAAGTATTCCATGTGAAAATACCGCAAACACGTACTTAATAGCACGTACTTAATATATTTTAGCACGTACTTAATATATAATAGCACGTACTTAATATATAAACACGTACTTAATATATTTTTTATTGAGCAATAAAAAATGAAAATAAAAATGTTCTTTGTTATAGCTAGAATTGAATAAAGCGTTATAATTCTCATTGGCATGTTTGACATACTTCACATTGCTGTGGTACATAACATGAACACATGCGACAACCCCCCGCTGTTACTTGCGGAGGTTGCGTTGTTGTTGTTATTGTTGTTGTTGTTGTTGTTGTTGTTGGTAAAGTCCAAATTGGCGTCTGCAATGTTGGAGCCCAATTTGCTGATACCGCCTGTATCTGTGGCTCTGTCGTAGCTATGCAATCTTCATCTTTCCCAGCGCAATTTATCTTTATTATGCAGCTGCCACATTTTTTTTTAATAACTAAAATCCGAGAAAGCTTGTTGAAATTCACTTAAATTTAAGTTGTGGAGTCACAGAAAAAATTTGTAATTCCACAACTGTAAGAATTAAAAATTCTAGGCATATTCTACAATCGTAATAAAATACCTTGCGATTGTTCATATTCTGATTGCACGACTTGTGGTCGCATTGGTTGGATGACCTGCGGTCCTATTGGTTGCACGATTTGCAATCCCATTGATTGCACAGATTGCGAAGGTTTGCCTAGTGGTTGTGCTGATTGCGGTGGAATGGGCTGTTGGATGGCTGGTGGTGGTGGGTATGCTTTAGGCCTATAACTCTCCAAATACATCGCATTTGCCACCGATAGAAAGATGCAAAACGGAAGACTAAGCTTGCAACACATGACTGAAATACATGATATTAATATCGAAATTATTGAAACTTTAAACTAAATTGAGACGAAAAGTTGCTGTATGGCATGACTTAAAATTAGACATTGATGAGATTCTGAAGTTGTTTCACGGAAATTCTATCCCGATCGAAGTGATATTGATGTCCGAGCACTCATTATTATACTTCTTCCACTGATACCACACATCAAACATCCCGATACTGGCATCAAATTATATTCTTCTGTTCTTATACTTAGCACGTTCTCAGCGTTGAAATTTATATTTGATTTAAAAAAATGCGCCAACATTTTTTAATTAAATAACGCAACATTTTATAAAATTTTTAGCTAGAATTTTTTACTTGATCAAAGTTTGTTAACATTCCCATTATACTATTGTTTCACTTTTATCATTTTGCTTATTTGCTGGTCGAAATGAACTTTTTGATAAGATTTATAGGTGTTGATGAATTGAATAAAATTGATAAAAAATAGTAACCGATAGAAGCATGTAGTTGAAATATGTTTATATACAAGCTCAGTGCACGTGCATTTCGTATTGCATTTAACTGAGATTTTTAATTAAATTTGATAAACAGTAATTTGCTAAAAAGAAGTAAATAATGAACGTTAAATATTAGTTTGAAGAGGAATGTCATACAAACGGTATGTGCCCCGGAACATCTCGGGATTATATGGTTTTGTATCGAAATGCATTTCTTTTATGCATGCAGTCTGATAAATAAACAGGTATTTGAAAATAATGATGATTATGATAAGATCTACAAAATAACTTCAGGTATTTGCGAATAGATTGTTTGTATTGGTGGAAGTAAGAAAAAATCGATTGGTGTTAATTTTGTTGAAAGTAATAAATAGGTTGTTGTTGTTAATTTATCTGTTTCGTTGTTGAGAAAGAAAGTAAAAAATCAGTATTGAATATTTTAAATGAAGTTAAACTATTAATTATTATTATTTAATCAGATGAAATTATCACACTGGAATTGCAATATTCCTCGTATATCAACGAAATCGAATTATTCAACTTGTTAATATCAATATCAATATCAATCAATCAATCAATCAATCAATCAATCTATCTATCTATCTATCAATCAATCAATCAATCAATCAATCTATCTATCTATCTATCTATCTATCTATATATATATATATATATATATGTATATATTAGAAATGAAAATTTCAACAAAATTAGAAAAAGAGGATTTTTCTCTTTCTCCCTTATTTTTTATACTTTTTATTTATTTCAAAAGAAATAATAATACTAACAAATGCTCAATAGAATGTTAAACAAATTAATTATTTAATTATTCATTAAAGAAATTGGAGGAAAAAAATTTAATTTATCTAAAATTCATTTTTATCAAAATATCCAACTTTTCGATTTTCGACTTAAAACTGTTTTCATATTTTTAAATATTATTTGTTATCAATTTATCGATATATCGCATGTTGTATTTGATAAATCTTATTAATGGTTGAAATTGTTCTACAAAAATTAAATGTTTTTTGGATAAATTCATTTGTGAATCATTCGTACTGCGATAACAAAATATTTCAATTAAAGCTATAAATAATTATTTAACTTACTCGAAATGGCAATTTTAAATTTTAAAGGCAGAAAAAAGAGCTAATTATTGTTTGCTTTGTTATTTGTAAAACGAATTAGTAATTAATTGAAATGAAAAATTTCATCAACGGATATGATGATAACTTTATGTCAAGGCAGGATGACTCATCATATATATGTATAAAATTCATCTTTACTTTTTGGAATAAAAAATTATGCAGAAAATAATATTCGTCGAAATATCAATTATGATTAGCTATCATATTGTGAGAACCATACTGATACGAGAAGATAATAATATTAAAAAAGATAATTTATTAATTGATAAATTGAAATTTATTAAATTTGAAACGGACAGCTGCTGACTTTTTACTAGTTGACTTACAAGAAATTCTCAGTGATTTCCATTTTACTAT